CTTGTGTATTGCACCAGGAGTGGATCGAGCTATTATACACCTCCTTAAGGTATGCTAGCCGAATATCAAGTTATTAATCTGGGAGATATTTATATTATATCTAACTCTAAACTACTATCCAAAAGAATGGAAACTAGCGGAAATAATAATAATTCCCAAGGTAAGTAAAAAAACAAAACGTTATCGTGATTGTAGCAACCAATAGCCCTAATCTCCTGTATTGGAAAGGGTTTCGAATAGTATATAGTTAGTCAAATATTTTGGATAGCTTTGAGATATAAAGTAATCAGCCTATAATATTATGGAGCACTTTTTAGAAGATTAGGGATAGATCTAGCAGTTGCCTTTACTTATAATATAAAGCTTATATTAGTAATTGGCAATGTGGTTTCGATTGTTACTATGGATATACAGGGAGCTTTTGATGCTTTTTTGAAGTATCAACTTTTGAGTCAAATAATCAAATAAGAATAGCCAACTTTGTTGTTTAAACTGATAGATTTATTCCTTACAAACAGAAAAGTCAGAATGAAACTCAAAGGTATTATAATTGAGGAGTATCTAGTAGTATATAGTATTCCTTAGGGGTTCCTATTATTATCTATACTCTATATACTCTATCTTACTAAGCTCCTCAATCAAGATACAAAATTCCATTTTGACTATACAGATAATATTGCGATCTATTATTCTTTCAAGTATTTCTCTACAAATACTAGAATCCTATAACAATAAGTATAGCAGATCATCAAATGGGGTAAGGAGAATAAAATCCTATTCGCCTTTGAGAAGTTTAAACTACTTTATATTATTAGATAATATAATACTACTAATCTATTATTAATAATAAATCCAGATCTGATAATTATTCTAATATCGATTATAACAAGTAAAAGCACTTAATCTATTTTAAGGTGGCTGAGTGTCTTTTTTAATTGCCAGCTCTCGTTCTTATAATACATCAAAATACATATAGCGAAAACTATAAAGTAGCCTTGTATATTAAATCGATTACTTGCACTATATATGGACTACTAGTTTCCTCTTTAAGAAAAGCAATGATCATCTGCGTTCTTCTAATAGTACTATTTGATATGAAAGTATAATATACTGATAAATATAAGCCTGGCTTAGACTAAAGCGATCTAAATATAAGTATAGATATAAAAGATTATCTCTATTATATCAATAGAATAATCAATACTACTATAAAAAAAATAATCCCAATATACAAAACTATATCAATCATAACTCTTATCAAAAAAACAAGTCTATCATTAGAGATAGTTGTACTAGAATATACTAAGCTGTGATTCGCATTCCAATTAAAAACAATCGATAATCAATACTTACTAATAAATCATTTGAAATCAGTAATACAAAAATACAAATAAGGAGCAGATACAGTAAAAGGGCTTCTTACAAAAATTCAGCGGCTCAGTTGTTTTATTTCAAAAATACAATACTCGAAGCTACTCCGCCTACACTTTTCGATTAGCTATAGAACAAATCCAACAAAAAGATTAATTAAAAAAAAAGCAGCTCAAGTCTTTAAAAAGTAATAACAACAATTCCTATTCAAAAACTATACGATTTTCTCTAACGAATCAGAATAAATTATTGATTACAAATATTATATTAACTACGAATATATAATATATTATAATGATATTCAAATAGTCTTCGAATTTAAGCAGATCTAAAGCGACTCATATATATTCGATATAGAAGTGATAAAAGCATAATACGGATTAGAGCATCTAATTATTATACTTGAAGATCCCTTGAATAATCGGATCTGGATATATATTAATAATATATCAATTATCTAGAGTATATACAGAAATACATTACTTATAATACAATAAGTCTTTCATAAGTATTATAAAGCAATAAAACAACTCGATATTAAAATAAAGTGATTATTTGGATATATAAAAATTGAAGGCAATAAGAAAGTAAATCGCTTAATAAATATAAATGTAATTGGGCTTATGGATTAAACAATCAATAAGCTACTAACAATTAATAGGATTCGAATAATTGTCTATCAAAAGCATCTACATACAGAATTTACCTAGTAGGAAAAGATAAATTCCTCTCTCTCCGCTAACTATAAAAATAGTCTTTTAGATATAGTATAAAGAAACCAAAGGAACTAACTCTATCAAGAATAATCTTATATCGACTAATAACTATAAAAACAGACTACAGCAATTATACCACTTACCATCAGCGATTTGGTTATCAAAACAACAAGCTGGACTGCTTATGCAATAATACTAAAAAACCATATCACTTCTTTAAATATATTATAAATAATCTAAAGCATTTAGACTAACCCCTTGCCCCTATAGAAATACAATCTAACAAACAGGCGATTATATATATTAAGAAACTCTTACACACACCTAGTAAACTCATTTAGCTAATCACCAACTCAGAGTTCTATACTTAGATCTATCCTAACTACTAAAGGACCCTTAAAAAGCAATAATCTTTTCAATAAAGCTTGTTATCTATTCTTTATAAACTTACTATTCAACTAATTATTCAAATACATTATACCTCTAAAACCGCAAACCCAATATATAATACAAAAGTCCTACTACTTGACTAAACAAATAGCAATCCACTCTTACTTCTTTCCTTTACTATAAGGATCGAAGTCTATAACAAGCTTATCCACCCAAAAACCAAGCTCTACCTTAATAACAATTTGGATCAAACATTTCCTTCTAGAAATAGAAGTGGATTGTATCCACAAAGGAGTGAATAGCCTTTAGCATTAAAATTAAATTGCTAAATTCGGTTGCGATGATTACGCTGCTCAAATAGTTCCTTATCTTAGTATATCTAAATACCCTTAGGGAGATTCAAAACAGACGTTAATTAATATAAATAAAATAAAAAATAAATAAATAAATAAATTAACACTCTGGGTTGTATTTTCTTAAAGCTTGTCTTTTATTTACTGGGAATATTCGGATCTTGTTGAATAAATTATAATAAGGTAACTGCTTTTGAAAGGATAGTATTCAGATGATTCGATTTTGTTTATTTATTCTAAGCTTGAATCTCGCTATTTATATTAGATGTAGTTCTATTTAATATCAGATTTCTTCCCTTATTTGTTTTTTCCTAATCTTTATAAGCATTTCTAGAAGATCAATAATGATTATCGAGATCCTTAATACTATATATATATATTATAGCTCACTGATTACAAAATCTATAACTTTAATAATTGCTATAGCTTATTACTTATTTGCAAAAGGATTATATAGGCTTTTAGGGAAGCTATAACTGCTCATCCAATTCGAATAAATATTATTACCACAATAGCTTTAGCTCTTAGAGTAATAATCTCTGAGACCATTTTTACTAGTGTTTATCTGATCCCCTATAAGGACGATTCTATCTTGATTCGTTTGTTGAATTGGAGGAAGAGTTTTTTGTATATATGTTCTAATCTCGATACTCTATTGATTACCCACTTAAGTTTATTTGCAGCTTTTACTTTTACAATTGAGCTGGAAAGAGTAGTGGTTGTGGTTTTGGGAATTTGAAGTATTCTCACATATATCTATATAATTAGCTTTACACTTTTTATTGCTAACTTCGAATTGAAGATTCCTTTTATACTATCTATAATAACTATTAATACTCTATATATTAGTTCTTTTATCAGTTGGCTCAGATTCTGTTCCGCAAATTGCGCTGCGAATTGTACGAGGATTGTCTCGAAGCTGGTGAGTATTAGAGTTTTGTCTATAATGTGCTTCTATTATATATCAATCTTCTTCTGAATAACTATCTTCACAGCTATTTCAATAGTATTCTGGTTGCTTTCGAATAAGTATAAGAAGGGACCAGCACTTTTATTGCTAATCCACACTTTCTTCGAAACAATAATTGAGAAACAATTCTCAAAATCGATCAGGGAGCCTGTTATCCCTGTAGATGACAGCTGGCTCGCCGGCTCTCTCTGATTCTGCTGCAATAGCATTCTCGAGCTAAGCAGCTCGAAGCGCTATAGCGATCGCGCTGGTATGTATTGTATAATATGATTTCGGGATATCCGTAGATATAGTTGTTATGAGCTTGTGTGAAAATTGCTTTTTGTGATTATTCTTGTAATCTATATATTATAAGTGGTTGTAAAGTAGTATATATACTAATAAACCATGTTATTATATCTCTTATTGATTATATCTATAATAAAATAGAATAAGATAAAATTATATAAAAGACTAAATTGATTGGTTATACTATTATTTTATAAAATAAATGATTCTATAAGATTCGATTTAAATCGATCTTATTTATAAGTATAGAAACCATTAGAATTTCATTATAGACTATATAAACCTATAATATTCTTTAAAAAAACCTAGAAAATTTAAGCAAATTCAGTTCAATTAAGCTTTTTCTTATAATTTGACTTTAATTCAACTCTTATACTATATTCGATTTAACCCTAGAGCTAAAGTAACTAAATCTTCTACTAATACTAGAATACTAATATTATTATGATTATTCTAGATGCTTACCTTCAAGATCTACATACATCCCTGCGTCGACTTTGACTTTCATTGGTGTAGTCAGTAGTATTACTTATCTCGTAGTACGGCTGTAAATACGATAGGGTGCGCTTTAAAAGGGTGCTATAAAATGCTATCGTATTGATCTTCGGTTTTACACTCTCTGATGACAAAGTTTTCATTGATTGTTACAGCATATTGTACACAGCAGCCCCACTATCCATTATTTGACCAGTATTCGGTGCCATCGCCAGTGAGTCTTCATCTATCACGCCCTAAGACTCCAGGTCCTGCACCAATATCGAGTCCAGGTTGAACTCAGTCGGGTTTTCACTATCCGGGTCCACCGGCACCTGAAATCGCGCAATCAGAACTAGGAGATCGGAGAAACTGATCTGTAGCATAATCCAGAAGCGGAAGTTCTGGATCGATTCTAGAAAATTGCACATTCATTCGTCAGCAAGCCAGCTCCTGATTTACCACGGTGCCTGCTGCATCATACATAAATGGCCATTTGGTTGGTCCTTCGGAGTGGGAGTGGGGGTGGGTAGACTCACGGAGCTGAGCACGAGCGATGGGCCAGTACTTCGAAAAATGCTCGAGAGATGCTGAGAGCAAGTCCAGATTATTCTCTAGCTGGACCTTCTTTTCGGCGCTGGTAGCAACGTGCATTGTTTGGAGAGCTAGGAGATAACACGTAGCCCAGATGATGGAGCACACGGTCGGCTCAGTGCGCGGATAGTAGGAGGGTTCCCAGTGCTGGAAGACGCCAACTATGTCTTCGCATTCTGCGATGCAGATCTGCCAGTCTTTCATTGCGGCTTTCTGGGATAGTTGGTCATCGAAGGGATGGGATTCATGGTCTAGGTTGGGAATATGGGCAGTAATTTGGACACTTTTGCAGGTATCATTAGACCATGCTATCGCCAATTATTATAATAAAAGGAAAGCTTACATATGGAAGTGTAGTAGTAATTCAAGCCTCTTGCAATGTGCGAATGGAGCCTCGTTGAGCACTAGATTACGAGATGGATGGAGGTACGAGGTTGACATGCCAAGTCGTATATGTGAGCACAAATTTCTGAAAGCGAAGAGACGGTCTTGAATATGGCTGTTTGGGTTTAGTACCAGCCTTCTGCGGATCGTTGATACTTCTCGGAGCATGTATTCAAACATAACGTAAATATTTTGCCCGCCATTTGTGCCACTTAACCGAATGGCTTGCACCACCTGTTCCGCTCGACCGGACCCTGTGTTCAAGATTGCTCGAACCGATGGCGAAGTACTTCCAGCGGTGAATTCTTCCACTGGTGTAGAGACTAAGAACGTATACACGTTTTCAGGATCGATCGAGAATGGAGTTGATGCAAGACAATTGGAATGGGAATCGAGCTTCGAAACAGACCACCAGATATAACGTCTCTCTTCTCGGTCTTCCTCAGACATCAACGTTTTATTACTTGGGCTATCGACTTTATGCAAACCATAAGCGTAAGCCAGCCGAGTAAGATTTCCTATTTGTTGCCACGCTTGCCGACCTTGGAAATGCGCATAACCATACAGGGCTCGCAGAACAGCTACTCGAACTTCATCCAATGCTGCTGTTCGGGGACTACCGCTGGACCCATGATCAAGCATCATGTCCTGCCAGAAGTCTAAACGCGACAGTACAGATATACTTGGATCAGAGGAAAACGGCGCCGCTAATGCGAACATAGGAGCAAGGAGTTCATTGGTTATTTTGCCGTTATGGTAATCTTCGTAAAAGGGGCGGGCTCGAAATAGCGGTACTATCGGCTGTAAATGGTCGAAATAGAGTGAGAGACTACGGATGCGGTGTTAGAAACAAGCACAGTACTGCACACGCGCTAAACTTGCAGATGAAGTTGCAACCCTGTCTGATGTAGATGGTTTCTTTTCGTGTATATCTCCAATGGAAGAGCGCTTGGGCCACAGGTTACGTCGTTATTGGTGATACCACCCAAGAGCGTTGTGATATTATGCCACTGGTCCAGTGTGCTCTCCAGGGCAGGGATATATGATTCATTGTCCAAAAGTTCGGCGCGGAAACTGCATATATTGTTGTTCTTGTTCTCATAGTTCTTCTCAATTGTGCCCGGGACTGGAGTTCGCTGGTCCAATTGCTCTTGCTGGGATTTCAGGACAGACTCGAGGTTTTCTATGCGCCACCGGTTAGATCAGCACATCGTCATGTCCTGCTTATAGCGGAGCTAGAAAAAATGGAAGAGCGACATACGAAGCTTCGAGATAAGAGTAGCGGTCGTTGTTGAGACGCGACCTTTGCGAGGGCCAGGCTTCTGTTTTCGGCTACTGTATGTACACTGCATACCATTCCTTATGCAAAACGAACATGATGGCCTGTCCAAATTGCCTAATGATATGTGAGACACCAATTCGGTCCGTCCGCAATTGATCCGCTATGACCGAATCCTTCGGACTGCTTACATTTTCTTCGCCTTCTGCAGGAGAGACAAATAGAATGAGGTTCGCGATCTTGTTGGCAGGCTCGGGGCAACTTACCTTTGACAGATGTCACATACACGATATGGAGCAGTTTTAGTGTCCAATGCCCCAGTAGAACCGGGTGACCTGCTATCAGTCATTGTAAGATCAGTAATGGCGGGTGCGAGCAAGGGTCTGGTTGTAAACGGTTCAGGTAGTATAAGCAATGCAAAAGGCTGATCTGTTCAACAATTCGACCTGCTGTAAATGGTCAATGCTAGTATGGAGAATGAGTGTAGTAGCTGTGAAAACACGAAGAAGCAATACTATGGGGCGATAAGGGTAGAAGAGGGTTCGTTATATAGTCCCCCTGAAACCGGGTCCTCGGAATGTTCGAACTAACAGGGCTCGGGCGGGAAAACAATGATGCGGATAACCGATATCCCTGCTATGTGCATGCCCCTACTATATGCACGTTTTTTTATTTCAAAATAAAAATCAATTTAAAACTCAAAAATCATTAAAATTAGATGAAATTTAAACCAAGAATTAAATAATAGTATTTATTTAGATTTTTCGAGTTTTCAAATTATTAAAATAAAAATTAATTGAATAATTAAATAAAGAGAAGATATAATTTTGATGTAAAATTTTCTAATAAAAGTAGAATAAAATCTATTTATAGAATTATAAAATATTTTAATAGATTTCTTGATATAAATATTGTTATAAAAGAATTAAAAAAATTAAAAAGTAATAAGAATTGCTTTCAATGTAATTTATTAGATTTTCTATTTTTTCTTTTAAAAAAATTAAAAATAGATCTTAAAATAAATTTAAGTTTTATGTTTAATATTGAAGACTTAAATAGTATGATCTTTTTGAAATGAATTATATTAAATATTAAAATATATAAAACATTAATGAATCAAAAGAAATTATTCAAAGAAATCTTTTATTTTCAAAATTTTATTTTTAAAATTATTTTATTTCTATTTTTATAATATATAATGAGACTTTAATTATGAAATTATCATTTTAATATAAAACTCTTCTAAAAAAAAGCTTTTCGTAATTCAAAATATTAGTAAATCAATTTTTAAAAAATAATGTTCTAAATAGAAATCATTTTGATATTAATAAATCCTGAAAATCCAAATATATAATTGTTTTATTCAATCAAAAATTATTAATACACTTCTATTTTCTAATCATTAAATAAAATATGCATAATTAAAGATTTTCGAACTTAAATATTTATTAATAATCAATTATTATTATTATTATTATTAGTAATTTTCAACCGGGCCGTATAGGCGAGCCTCCCAGGGGGCATTACGATTGGGCTAACTGCGGGATAATCTTAATTTACATGATCCCTCTCTCCTAAAAATGAGGTTTCAATATCCTCAATAGCCTTCTAAGCGATAGCTAGCACGCTTGTGCTTTTGTCTCCGATTCTCTGAGCGCCTCCGTGCGTGCTTTCCGATCTTTTATATAATGTTTTGATTGAAAGCTGCTTTATTTTGTAAGGGTAGCTTTTGTATATGTTCTAGTGTAGCGCAGTATATTGCATATATCGATTTTGTTTTTTATAGCTTTGTTATATCGATTGCCTTCTATTCTGTATTTGTGTTTACCCAGATCAATCAATTCATTTCCATTTCCTTTTCCTATTCTTTTGATAGCATTCTAGAGCATATGTTCCTGTAGAAGTCTATTATAGTAATAAATTCAGTGAACTTGGCTAGTATGTGTATTAGCTGTTTCAATAGTTGTTTTTGAGCCGCTCGATTACAGAGTAGGTATTTGGACCTGATATCTGGAGACCAGGTTTTATAGATTGTAAGAACTTTGTGGCAATGCATAATGTACTCAAGGGATTTGTATGCGTCATATGAACAATGGATCATTGCTTCCTTGTATTTAAATCGTTAATGATAGTTTTCGAAATTGTTGTGTGCTAAGCGGATCGCTAGTATACAATGGAGAGTAGCTCGTAAGAGTTCTAGTTTATTAGAATATTTGTTTATACTCCTTGGATTTCATTTCTAATACTGTTTGAAGAGTATTGGTTTTTGTTTGATCCATTATACCTATACTGCCAATTTCATACAGTTTTTGCTATAAAGTGGATACTACTTACTATAGATTGATTTGCATATCCTGAAACTGATTTTCTTATTTCTTTATCAACAAGTACATCCGTACGCTTATTCCCTTCGATCCCTGTGTGGCCTAACAACTATTTGATCTGGATCGAGTGCGTTTGTATTAGTTTGTGATATTTGAAGAAAGCCCATTGTGATATGATAGAGGTTGTACCTCTCATTTCCTATATCACCAATATACTATTGATACACATACAGATTTCCATTTGTTTTATACCAATAATATTTCTAATTGCTACTTAAAGGTCTCGGTATGCCCCGATTGTTTTTGTGTTGAATACATAAGAATTGTAATACAATCCATTGTTTTTTTTGTATACTACCATCTGTCCTCTATATACGATATATCCATATCCTACTCACCTACCATCCTTATCAGTCTATTCCGATCCATCAGAAAATATAGTGATTTGATTATATATGCACTTATTCTATTATTCCTGAAACTACTCTGCCACTACCTCTTTTGTAAAACCTCTAATGGGATTCGTTCGACACCCTGATATGTAATGGGGTTTTATTAAAGTTATTTCTTTGATTTGGGAAAGTTTGATTGATTGATTGATTGATTTCATTTACGTCCATCTTCAGTCTAAGACTATATAGGACGGCTAGGCCTCTAGAGGCTCTAGCGGATAACTTTTTATTCTACAAAAATGGATATATACGATTTAGGGAAGTAAAAACAAATGCTGGGGAACAGTGCTCGCTTATTATATACATTGTATATAATAAGAAAATTGTGAAAATTAAGAAATTATAAGGAAATCAAGCTTTCTCTTATTTTTCTAATTACTTCTTTTTCATTCTTTTCTTCTCTTTCCTTTTCTATTACTATTCCTTCCTCTATCTCGTTTTGTATAAGAGCTCTGACTAAATGCTATACTTTTGTAGCGATTTGATAATATTGATAAATTTAATAACTAATTCAATACCTACTTTTGTATAAAATAGGAATTATATAATAATCTTAAATAATAATATATTCTTGAATATTTCTTTTCTCTCTATTTTATATATAGAATAATTAATAAGAAGGTATTATAAAACCTCAATATTATTATATATACATTTATTATCAAAGAATTTGAATCGATATAAATAAGATTTGATATATTCATAATCTAATTTGAGTTGAAAATATATGCTAATAATGTTTCACTTAGTTTCATTTAATAGCTTGATTTTCGATTCTATTTTTTATAAAAATAATTTTGAATAGATTAAAGGGGATTGATTTGATCTGAGTTTGTATTGATTGAAAATAGAAAGTTATTGATCTGAATCATATTCTTTGATCATTATATCTAAAAGTCCAAAACTTGTTTTGTTTGAGATAGAATATATTGTGATTACTTTCTTTGCTAATTTATTTGCTAGCTCATTTCCTTCTACTAAAATATATCCTGGAATCCAATTTAGAGATATTTTAGCTCCTTTTGCTTTGATGATTTCCGCTACTTTGATTGCTCGAATCTAATAGGCCTGTCCAAAATAATCTGATAATGTTTTTAAGCAATATAGACCAACTTGATTATCCAAATATATCTTGAATTTGTTATTAATACAGGCAATTGTACTAGTATATTCAATAACTCTAATAACCCCATAAAGCTTTCCATTATATACTAATTAATTACTACCAATATTCAATTATTATTAATATAAAATTCGATTATTTGATTATATTACAATTATATCTACATCTATATCTATTTCTTTTTCAATAAAAAAAGTATCAATATAAATATAGGTAATATCCTTATCTCTATAATTGAAAATAATATTATAAAAAATAACAGTATCTTCTTTTAATGAATTACTAATATTAATTCTGAAGGGAATTTCCTTTTTCCATAGAGGGAAATTGAAGTGAATAATCTTTTCAAGTGAAATAGGATTGAGATCCTGATTTATTAATCCTCTAATTCTATTAAGTTGAATTGATTTATATTATTTTCTTTAAGAAATAAGAATTACTTCTAAATCGATTTGATATTAAGCTAATATTTCTTTTTCGATATTAATTAAATAATTTGATGAGAGTTTAATTAAACAAAACACATATTATCTAATATTTAAATCTAATCAAATTTTTAAAGACTTTAGGTTTGCTTCTATTTTTATTAAAAGGATTGAGGTTGTTTTGAAGATTCTTAATATTTTTTGAAAAGCTAGATTTTGAAGTAATTATATTATATTCTTGAAATAAGTTTGATCTTTTCATTAAATCATTAATCCATAATCAGCTATACTGATTATATATATTATATATAATTATCTAAAGACTTTAGAATTAAGGCTCTTTTCAATATTAGCTAATCGAATTATTTGATAAAAAGTATCTTTTACTTATATGATTTGAATATTAATATATTAATCGAATTTGAGGTTTGAGTTGAATTATATTCCTAGTTATTTAATGAAAGATTGAGATATAATTATTTCCGAATTGGATAGTATAATTGAATATTTTTTTGTTAATTTGAATAATGAAAAGTACATTAGCTTTGTTTTTGCTAAATCAAATTAAATTACATTTCTAGAATTGAGTTTATAGATTTGTTTTGTAACTTTTTCTAGAGTTTTGATATTCTTTTTTTATATAGATAAATATATGATTAAAGTAATATTATTTATATAAAAAAGAAACTTAATCAAATTAAATAAAAAAAGCTCTCTGATATATATAAGAAAGAGAATTGAAGAAATTAGACTACCTTATAATATTCCAATCGAAATTAATTTGAAAGATTTGATTTGATTATTAAAAGATAATTTTAATTGTTTTTATTAAAGAAATGAAATTATCTAGACTATTAGATTTATAGACAGTTTTAGTTTCTTATAAATATCTAATAATCGATTTCTCGAAATATAATCGAATATTCTCTTTATATCTATAAATAATATTGAGATCTTTTACTAACTTACTTATTTCTTTTAATTTCTGTAATCAATAAAAATACAGCATCAATTACTGATTTCTT